ATCAACCAGCACGTGACCATCCCTCTGCCTGGTCCCCTCCCTACCCGCCCTGAGACCCAGACGCAGCCTGGGACATCCCACACTGGCTCCAGGCATAAGGACAGGATGTGGGGACAGCAGGTGCTCCGCCTCTGGGCACATGGCCACCCAGTCCGGTTTCATCCAGCACAACTCGTTTTTCAAATGTCCCAGTTTCAGCCTCCCTTCCTGCAACCTGGGCCAAACTGGCCACCCGGAGATTTCTGTCCCCTGCTAACAGCGCTTGGCTGGACAATGGCTGGGCCTGCTGGGGGCTGATGTGAGCCAGAATGGCCACGAAGAAAGCGGACAAGGTGATGTCAGAAACCTTTCAGGATCCATGCTGTGTCCCAAGTACTAGCACCCCCCTGTGTGCCCCGTCAGACCCATTCTTCCTGCTCACAGCCTTGATGACAGGGAGTGCTGCCGCCCCTCTCCGGGCCTCCTTGAGAACAGGCTGCTCTTGGCTACCAACAGCCTGTTTCTGTTCTCGGCCCAGCACAACCCAGGGAGGCAGGGAGCACCACTGAACCAGATGCAGACTTCCTACACCCATCCCTCCCGGCCAGCTGGGGCAGGCGTCATTCTGTAAGGCAGTAGTGAACACCTAGTATGTGCAGGGTTCTGTGTGGGGAAGGGGGCTCAGGGTGCAAGTCACGGCAGGTGAAGAAGCTCCCTGTCTAATCGGGAAGAGAAGTACCACGTAAGGCAGAACTGGGTACCGCATGTTTGTGCTCATCAGCAAGCAGGATTCATCCAATAAGCACCAGGCATCAACTCTGGGCTGGGGTTTCAGGAAAGAAGAGAGACAGTTCCCTCCCTCAAGAAACACTGATGGGCCCTAGCTGGTTTGGTTCAGTGGATAGAGCGTTGGCCTGGGACTGAAGGGTCCCAGGTTCAATTCTGGTCAAGGGCACATGCCCGTGTTGCAGGCTCAATCTCCAGTAGGGGACAGGCAGGAAGCAGCCGATCAAACACTAATGACTACAATGAGATGTGCTCCGTGTCCACGGCAGGTATAAGCGAGGCTTTAGGGAGCCACAGAGGTGAGGTTTCGATCAGGGAAGGCCACCAGGAGACCCCCCACCCCGCGGCCCTCCCAACAAGACCCAGTCTAGTCTGTACCCGATTTAAACCCAGGCTCAAACCAGCCCCCCAACCCAAATATGCTCTCAGCTGAGGTTAAACAACTCCCCTCCTCCCTGATTCTGGTGACAAGTCTGCATGTTTAAGTTTCCTTTTGGGCTTTTCTATTTATGTTGTCATTGATTCCTTTGCTCCTAACTCATCTGATTTCAATTTGGACTGATTTGATCCTAATTTTATTACCATGTAATCTGAATGCACATAATTACTGTAATTATGCTGCTGAGGGAAACAGTTCCTCCACGGCGGGAAGACCTAAATTTAGGACTTCCTGGCAAGGGCGGCCGTTGGCTGGGTGGACCCACAGCCACCTCAGAGCTGGCAGCTTTGGGAGCGCAGATGCCCTCCCCCGCCCCACCTCAGCGAGGTGGATATTTTGGGCTTCATCCTAGTGATGGAGCTGGGGCCCCTCTCAGGAGCCTGGGAATACACAGGACTGTGAGCTAGGGGTTGGCGAGCCCACCCTCTCTGTTTTCCAGCTCATACCACCACCCGCTGTTGCATTGCTCAGCCTGGGTGCCTCCTTTCTGCCAGCACCCACATCCCACCCACATCCCAAGGCTGCTCTACCTCTAGGGTGCAAGATGCCAGCAGTCTCTCTGGAAAGACTTGGTTTCCCTGCTAATCATGGGGCGAGGGCAAGCAAGCTGTGATGGAAGGGCCTGCCGCTGGCCTGTGTAGACCCCTCCCAGACCTCCAAGCCTAGTCCCAGACCTCCTCCTGCAGGAAGCCTCCCTGACCCATCCAGCTCTCTCCATGTGTTTTCATTATATCAACGTCATATACACAGAAAGATGGGCATGTCCCCCCATTATCCTCCCGCAGGAGGCCGCCAGGCCCTAGGCCCTGCCCACCCTGCCCCCACAGCTCACTTACCCAGCGCAGGGACCCGATGCAGACTTTGGCGGCCATCAGGGGCACGGTGGGGTCCGAGGGCCGCAGCTTCACACACTCCCGTAGCAGCGACACGGCGTAGGCCGACTGCAGAGAAAGAGCAGGCATCGCCATCACGCGCAGCCCTAGGTGGCAACAGACTGGGCACCTTGTGCACAATGGGGGCAGTTCCCAAATTGCCAGCCCTGTCTCTGCATCCCTTTCCTCTCAAGAGCCAGGAAGTGGGCCCAGTAGGAGCCCAGGCAGTGTGGGCAGGCAAGTCCCTCCTAGGCCTCAGTTTCCACATCTGGAGAATGGAAGCTGTGATCCTCACCCAGAAGTGATATGACAACAGCTAAGGTGACAACAGATGGAGGCTCTTTAAAAAGAATTCAGATGTGAACCACACAAATTTTAGAGGTAGAAAGGGGCTGTCTCAAACTTCTAACTCTTGGGTTAGCAGATGATGAGATCAGGCCAAATCCACATGGGACTTGGAGGCAGGGCTGGTGGTAGGGAGTGGGGTGGGAGTCTAAAGGCTGGCAGACTAGCAGGAGAAGCCAAGGTGGCAGAGCCAGGGAGAACCTCCAGACAGGAATCTGGGGATGCCCCAAGGCTCTAGGGACTCAGTTAGACTGGACCTGCTGAGGATGGCCACGGGTGGACAGAGGCCCAAGGGGGGAGCATCCTGGGCGAGGCAGGGATATAACTAATCACAGTAATGAGAAGAACACCAGCAACACGTATTTAGGTCTCACTATGGACCAAGCATTGCTGTAAGTATGAGGGCCAAATGTGGCCCTCAGCTTGCTTTTGTAAATAAAGTTTTATCGGAACTCAGCCACATCCATTCATGTATGTATTGTCTGTGGCTGCCTTCACGATGTGAAGGCAGAATTCATCCATTCATGTATGTATTGTCTGTGGCTGCCTTCACATCGAGTAGTTCCCACAGAAACTATTTGGCCTGCAAAGTCAAAACTGTCTATTCGCTGACCCTTTAGAAAGTCTGAGCTTTTCTCAGCCCAGATGTGACTTCCCGGGCTCTGGGCTCAGGCTTATTAGGCCAATTCCAGGTGTCTCAGCCAACCGCCTGCTCTGCCCTGTACTGTGGGAAGGGGAAGAGGCCATGGCTCTTGGCTATCAGGAAGGCTGGAGAGAGAAGAAAAACACCACTGTCCCCCACTGCTCTCTCAGGAATCAAGAGGACCACCTACAAGAGGGTGCTAGCAGATGGCAGCCTTTGTTAGGCTGAGGATGCACAGGGTGCCCTGCGTGGGCTGGAGCAAGAGAGGCTTTGAAGGGCTTGACAGAGCTGCCAGGCCCTCCACCTCTCCCGAGACCCTCCCCTGTGAGCTATTCCCAGCACCTGCACCACCGCCCCTCTGGCCACACACCCTAGCGAGCTTCAAGGCCTTTCCTTGGCTTCCTTCCCTGGTTGCTGACCTGTGCATCCTTGAAACACAGGGTTCTCTAACCCTGACCTCCACATTCACATTCTCCCCCACACAGACCACAAAACGCTGCTATTTAAGGAGCCATCTGAGGACTCCACAGTCAGAGCAGCCTGCATTTTTTTTTTTTTTTTGGTCACACTGGTTACCTAGCAACGCAGCCAATGTGACTGCTGAGGAGACCAAAAGATAGAGCGACCTACATCATGCCATGGAACTCACTTTCTTCTTGCAGGCTGCAGTGCTGGTACCTTTCTATCTGCCCGCCTCACCTCCTGGAAGACCTTTCTGGCACAATCACAGGTACAGAACCTGGATTTCCACCTCAGGATCTTAAAAAAGGTGAGGTCTGGCCAACCAGGACCACCGATCTCTGGGCAGGGCTCCTGAGGAGGTGGAGAGTGTACTTCTAGACCAATCGTCTGCCGCACGGGTGGGTGTAACCCGGCTGGAGGGGCCTCGTGTGAGGAACTCATCAATCACCTCGCACCCACCATAAGCACATTCTCCTGTGCGCCTGGCTCCTGTGAAGGAGCCGGGCCGGGCACCAGCTCCCGGGACCCTGGAACGAGCCAGGCTGCATCAGGGCCCCTCTGAGCCTGGTCTTCTCCGTGAGGAGGTGGAAGGCCCCATACCTTCCAGGCTAACACGGCACCTTCTCTGAGACTGGGACCTCCGGGAGCAACCGGAAATTAAAGCTAACTTTGGGGGTGGTGCTTTCTCCTGAGGAGGGGTCCCAGCTTTCCTCAGCATCTCAAAGGGGTCCATGACTCACAGAAGGCGAGAACCCGTACGGCCCTGGCTCTCCTAGTCCACGCTCACTATTACAGAACTGGAGGCATTTTCTCCGTTCACTGGAGGCAGGAAGCTGTCACATGCCCCGTGCACTGTCTGCCCAGGCTCCATGGAAGCCCCAGCCCCGACTCCTCCCTCCTCATCTCTGTTCTGAACTCTCCCTGAGCCCTGACAAGACCCTGCTGAGCACAGAGCTGGGGTACATCATGTCATGTTCAGGGTGGTCTGTGGGGTGGCCAATGTGATGGGGGTTGGGGTGTGGGGAGAGGCTTGGGAAGACAAATGCCCAGCAGGGCAGGGGCAGAGAAGCTCCCACTTGATTCTTGGCTGGACTTCCCACCGGCTAGGCTACAGCACCTGCTCTCCCTTCCTCTCCCTGCCAGGACCCAGCCTGTACACCCTGCATTCATGACGGAGGCGCTGGCAGCCTAGGAGGGCCCTCCTCGGAGACGGTGCAGGGCTAGAAATGGCAGGTGGCACAGATGGGCGGGCAGGGGCAGAGGGGGCGAGGAATTCCCTCAGCCCCACGAAAGGGCCCTGGGTGTTTACAGCTCTTGGAATGATCTGCGAGCTCATGCCACCTTACTTCCTGCCTTCGAAGCAGCCTCAGTTCCAACAGCCCCAGTACCCGGCCCCGGGAAGCTTTTCCTATCATGTCGCTACTTAAAATAGGGGTTTATGTAAGTGTGATTCTCATCAGAGGAAGAATGAGGGGTGCTGGAGCAGGGCTTGGAGGGCAGAGAGCAAATGCAGCCCGTCCTCCCGGGATCTGGTCAGCTCCAGGTTCACGAGCAGGTGCTTCCTGGACTCCACGCTCGGGGGCAGGAAGTCAGCCACAGCCCAAATGGAACACAGTTCCCCTTGCTGGGACCCACTCCCCATGCCTGACTCATGCAGTCTGCCCATCAACTCACCGTGGAAGTGCCACGATGCTCCCTGCGCACACACACCCTCAGAGAAAAGCAGCCATAGACTCACACGTGCACACGGGATTCATGTGCACAGGGGTCTGTGTGTGGCCCTCCCATGCCCTCACCCTCCTGGAGATGAAAATCAGCCGCCTGACAAACATTCCTGCATGCCATCCCCACCTCTGGGAGGGACCAGAGGAGAGCAGAGCCCCCTGAGGGTGATGCACAGCCCCAGGCCGGGGCCTTACCTTTCCACACGCCACCATGGAGAGGGCCACTTGGTACCAAAGGTGAAATTCTCCACATGCAAACTTCATGGCTCGCTCCAGGCACTGGGGAGAGGACACCGGTTAGCACTTCTCTGCCAGGACACACCAAGCCCATCCCGCCCTCCAGGGTCATCACTGCCCAAGCCCCTGGCCCAGGAGACCACAGGAGGCCTGCTTGGTTCCGGTCAGAAAACCTCAGGGGCTTCCCGTCCATGCGGAGCCCCTGGCCCTCAGTGCCCACCTCCACGGCAGGTGAATGGTCTCACTGGGTGATGGTGAAAAGCAAATGAAATGAGATTTGCGAAAGTGCTTTCGAAATGTAGATAGACATCCAATAATAATCACAGCTGACAGTTATTAACATTGCGCACGGCACTGTTCTCAGCCTTTTACAGGGATTAGCTCAGTTACTCCTCCCGGCAGCCCTGGGAGGTGGTTGTCTAATTACCCCCATTTCTCAGGTGAGGAAGCTGAGGTTCACCAGAGGCACAGGCCTGTAAGCGGCAGAGCAGGCTGGCTGCAAAGCCCACGCACAGAATGCTGCCCAAATGGAAAGGCTCCTCTTCATCCCGCTGCTCTCTATGCCCCCCCCCCAATACCCCCCCA